TGCTGGGGGATTGAACCGCGGTCCCTGATGCCTTGCCAAGCTTGTTCTAAGTAGGTGCTTTAGACCACTGAGCCATCTCTCCAGCCCCTAAAATACCTGCTTAGGCAGAGTGCAGCAGCCAGGGTTCGATCCCTGGCGTGCTGCGTTGCCCCGCCCCTGCGGTGCGCTCAGACAGTGAGACTGGGCATGGTGGTGCGCGCCTGTAATCCCAGCACTCAGGAGGCTGAAAACAGCAGAATCACTATGAGTCTGATGTACATAGTGAGGCCTTGTAGACCCTTTAGGCCCTGTCCTAAATACAGACAAAAGAAGAAGACAAAGTAAAAGCATTAACTGCTCCTTTCCACAGACCAGCAGAAATCCATAGTACACTTATCCAAACCGTCCTGCTTACGTACATAGATAATACTGTTCTTTTTAAAAACATTATTTCTCCTGGAAAACTTATAGTTATACTGCCTGGGTTTGGGTCTCAGCTCCCTTATATGCTTATTAATTAAGTGACTGGATAGGCCTTAGCAGTGTTGTGTTCAGTTTCTTTGTGTGTAGAAAGAAATCATCATTATACATACCTAGAAGGCTTGTGGGAGGATGAAGTGAGTAATGCATTTTAAGTGGTAGAGCAGTGTCTGACACAGTAGACGGTATCTGTTGGTTGTTTTCACAGTATTTCGTAGAATATTTGGTCAGTAATTTTAACTACGCTGAATTATAACAAAGCAATACAGGTGCTGGTATTGGTATTGCATGTTAAGAAAGGTCATCCCCAAATTTGGAATTCATGTACTTTTAAATTTTACAATTTCTATGTCTTCATTGTATGGAAGAGGAGACAGGTGGAATAACTTACCTAGGATTATGCAGAATCTGAGGCAGGGCCTGGATTTCAATGTAGATTCATCAGTGATTTGGCTAGGGTGCTTTACACCAGAGAATGACAGTTCAACTGAGCTGGTTCTTCAGAGAAGGGGTTCATGGTCATATTCATAACATCCTGCTTAGCTTCCTTGTATTCAGTAAGGTTGAGGTTTCTTCATACTTCTGAATGAAGCCTAGTACTGAAATCTAATGGAATCTCTGTCTTCTAGGTTGCCAGCATTTTTCGTCGTCCCCACCCCTCTTCTGGAAGAGGATGTGCTGCGCTTTCAGGGCCATGGCATACCAGTAAGTGCGCTGGGCGCCCTGGGAGGCACAGGCTGCTCATTGCCCAACCTAACAGAACAATCCTACTTAAGCCCCTTGCCTCTGATGTTCAAGAGCTTTGTCCTTAATCTAAGAGTAATGCAGAAGTATTGTAGAGTCCACGGCCATACTGCCCCGAACACACCCTATCTTGTCTGACCTTGGAAGATGAGCAGGGCTAAGCCTGGTTAGTACTTGGATGGGAGAAATATTATAGGGACGCCTTCGGGGAGGCTGTCTGGGGCATGAGGCTCTGTGGGTCAGTGCTGAAGTTTTCACAATGCATTTAGTTTAGCAGAGACATTGAAAAGTGCTGAGTGTGACAAGCAGACAAGTATGTCTGCTGTTCAGAGTAAGCTGGTTTAATGCCACTTTGAATCTGAGCTTACTACTTTTTATTATTATTATTATTATTATTTTAATTTTTTATTTATTTGTGTGTGTGTGTGTGTGTGTGGCCAGCTCAGCCCACCAGGGGGCGCGGCTGGCTGGCATGTGGTGCTGGAGGATTGAACCGCGGTCCCTGTGCTTTGCTTGGCTTAGCTTTTCCTAAGTAGGTGCTTTAGACCACTGAGCCATCTCACCAGCCCCTATTATTATTATTATTATTATTATTATTATTATTATTTTGTCTTTTTGAGATAGGGTCTCACTATTGCAGTTCAGGCTGGCCTTGAGCTCACTTTGTAGTCCAGGCCAGTCTTGAACTCGCAAGGATCCTCCTGCCTCAGCCTCCCTTTTGCGTATGAGTGCTTGGACTCCAGGCTACCATGCCCGGCTTTGGAGCTGACTGCTTTAAATGTAGGTGGATTTAAAATTCCTTTTGGCCAGCCCTGTTACTGTGGTTAGAGTGGTCCCTCACTTATCATGGAGGTTATGTTCCAGGCACTCCCACGCTAAGTGAAAATCAGTCAAGTAGCAACATTATATTTATGTTAGTATTTGTATATATTAAGGCTTTATAAATGCTTTCCACACTCTTACCTTTCCCACAGTTAAAAACACTTCTAATGTTCATGACCATTTTCTAATCTTGTAAACCTATGTAATTTTAAATTTTTTAAATTTTATTTATTTATTTATTTGAGAGAGAGAGAGA